CAGGAATGGTGGGACTCACTGGGCCATCTGGTTTCTGATACAGGCCATCTGTCACCATGTAGTTAGATCTGGCTTCATCCTCTTTGCAGAATAGGATGCTTAGTTCACACAGCTGCCTCCTCCTTTGGCCACAACATCTACTCCTCAATTACACACTCCCACTCCAGCTTAAGATCTAGGACAGAGGGGTAGGTGGAATCCCTGTTCTACCTCAGGAATCCTTCTCTGCTTTTTGCTGTACATACTAAACCTACACACAAACCATTTTCTGAAAGCAGCTGGCAGGGACAAGGAGCAGGAGTGGAGATGCAAGATCTGCAATTGAGCAATAGTTGGTGATGGGTCTAGATTCACCAATTTATTTATTTTTTCTCATCCTATAGGCATCTGTATCCTCTTTCTCCTCTCTCTGTACCTCATCCCCTTCACTTCCCTCACTGACATTCAAGTCTAAATTTCTTATTTGCTTCTCAGACTCATTCCACCTGCTTATGTCTCCCAAAGCCCACCAGTCTCTCACTCCTGCAGCAGTACCTTTTGAAAATGACCAAAGAGAAGGAAAAAGGGGCAAGACACACTGAAGAGCGCTTAAAAGCAAAAGTGCAAAAAAGGATAATGGAGGTTAAAAAGGATAATGGAGGTCAGAGAGGGAGCAGGGAACAACAAATGCATGTTGTAATTAGCCTACTCAGGTCATTAACTGTGGCTTTCTCCATGACACTCTCTCTTCTTCAGGTCAAGAGGGTTATCTGGTGATCTTTACATGCTTTGAGAATACTAACTGAACTACACTATGTGAGTGGATTTCACTCAAATGAGGTAACAAGGCTTTATTTTCTCTACAGATAAGCATTTGCCTTCAAGCTCTAGATCTTTATTTTAAAAACTCAGATCCCAAAATTTAATTCAGTAGCAATTGATTTGCATTAATGCCAAGTTTTATGCTTTTATTTGGCTCATTTTATAGATTTGCATTTTTCCAGAACTGCAGATACATACTACAGATCCCTGAATGGGACATACTCAATGGTATCAAAGCCCCCAGCAGCCCTGCACTGGATATATTTACACAGAGCTCTGTTGCCACCTGAAGCCCTGTTAAATTACATGGGACTGACTCTGGAGGGGTGCAGGAGCCTGCCTGAGCTGTGCAGAAACAAGGCTGTGTACCACCACCTCAGTCCTATGCAACTGGGAGATGCTACACGGATGGTACATGACTGACACCTGTGCTCATGCTGCTGGCACAGCTGTGGCTCCAGGCTCATCACACCATCCACTGCCACCCCATCAGCCACAGCACACACCTTCTGCCTCTTGCCCTGGCTTCTGGCTCTCCCCAGGCAGCAGGCAGATGACACCTGACTAGCACCAGAGTTAATCCAAAATTAACTCGCCACAGAATCATTCTGGTTGGAAAAGACCTTTAAGATCATTGATTCCAACCATAACCTAATTCTACCAACCATCAGCCTAACTCTACCAAGTCCAGTGCTTAAACCATCCTCCTCAACACCACATCTATGTATCTCTTGAACAACTCCAGGGATGGCAATTCAACCACCTCCCTGGGCAGCCTATTCCAATGCCTAAATAATTCAAACCTGAATATTTCATTTATACTTTTTGTAATGTGAACTAAAATTAGTCAGATCCCAAACTTTAGTCAGTAGCAGTTACATTCTATGTTAACTGAAATTATTATTTTTACATCATAGTATTTCACTTAGGCTGTTTGGCTGCCTTGACTTATTCTCAAGAGTCCAGATCTTTTTATTTTTTAAATCAACACATATGAAGAATCTATGTGTGCTATTACCACTAGTTAAAGAAATTTTGAAAAATTTTGCCAATATAAAGCCAAGACTTAAATCTAGTCACCACAAGTCAATGTGTCTGCATAGAAACATATTGTAAACACCCTGTGAAATGTTTTATTTTGTTTGTACATTTCCAACATGATTTAAACACTATGTCTTCTTAATGTTCAGCAAATTTCAACTTCCAACAGCATGACAAAACCCTCAACTTATGAGTGGCCTTCTCAAATGTATCAGGTTTCCTATAGGATCCCCCTCTGTTGTCCCACACCCTCCCTTCTGAGAGGGCAGTGATCAACCTCTGGGTGCGGAGATGCTCAGAGTATGATGCAGCCCCTGGTGAAGATCACCTGTGTCATATGGTGAGAAAGGGCCAACCTTCAGTGGATGTAAAAGAAAACCAACTCCAAACTGGGTCCACTGAATCTGCCAGACTAATGTATCTTGTGTGTTGCCTTCACCAGCAACAGCACAGATCTCAGTGGAAGGCAGACCTATACAAGACAATACTCCAAATCACCACTACCACACTAATTCACCTATAGGAAAAGCAGCAGATAAGCAAGCTACTGCATTTTGGAGCCTCAAAATATAGTGTTCTTACACCAAGAGTATTGTTTCTGAAGGAATATGATCTACTTGTGTTGCTGTAACATGCAGGAGCTAAAATTAGGTCAGCATTATCCTTGGAGCTGTGCAAATGCAGACCAGGACAGAGAAAACGCGGCTTGTCTAAGGGATCCAAGCATCCCAAAGCAGTATCTGCACCAGAAGCCAAGTCACATTCATTTTAGTGAGGCTCTGGCTCCCCAGTTTCAGTGGCACTTTCAAAGATGGAACGTAAACTACCCAGATGATTTGGAAACAGAATTGCACCTCAGTGTCTGGCTGAAATTCACATCTCAAACACAGAACTAAAGAGGATGAAATTTAGAGCAAAAGGAAAAATAGTCTTTTAAGGGAAGGAGGTATTGGAGACTTCAGTTTTTCAAGCATCTGGAACTGGACTGAAAGAGATACAACTCTGCAACAGAAGATTAAGAAAAGTATTTTACACTGATGTAGAATGGATGATATGAACTAAAGAGGTTTCTCCCATCTCTATTTTCTAATATTTAGAACCTGCCTTTTATTAGCGTTTTCCTTTAAGTAGTTTGCAAGTGATTGTGCCAACATCTTCTTTCGTTGATCTCAACAGGATATTCTTTAAAAGATGCATTTATTCACTTGGGAACACACTAGTGTAATTAGCCTTGACATTTCAACAGTCTGATCATGAACACAGAGTGCTCTATGTGCTTTTAAGGCAAAAAGATCTCTGATCCAACCAGGCAAAACATTTGAGATGTGAATTTTGCAGGAAACCCATGGATATGTTGTTATACACAACCCCGACCATTGCAAACATGAGTGCCAAAACCACACGAAGTCAGAAGACTGATGTATTGTTAATGGCACTTCTAACTTTAGAGGGGGAGGTGCGGGTTTTTTTCCCCTTTTGCCTTATGATTTTTTCATGGTAACTCTCACCCTGAAGTACTCCCCACCTCTCCCTTCTCCCAAAATTCACATGTTCAAACTAGAGCCTGACCATGCTGGAAGCAGGAGCCATTACTGGGTCCCCACCAGGAGCTGACGCC